GAGGAGGATATGAAAAGCTCAGGAAACACTTGAGCCCACCTGTGGAATGAAGGGGCGGGGTGGGGGGTTGGGGGTGGGAGAGCACCAAGGAGGGGGACAGTAAGGTTATCCCTGGAGTGGGGTAGGGTGTTGAGCTGCAAGGAACTCACTGGAAGGAGAGAGGTTTCAGCTCAAATAATCCCACCATATCATTTCTGCTTCAGAAAGCCCCCAGATGGGTAGGGAGGGTAGGGTCTCCACCCCCTGGGAGGGGAAGCAAGAACTAATCACATAGACACATAACCCCTCCAACTAGATTCCTGCAGGGCCTGATAAATGTTCCATTGTGCACTAAGGACATAATCCTCGGGCTCTTACAGTGTGAAGGAGATTATGTTTCAAAGATTTCACAAAGGAGAGGGGAGCTGGGGATCCTCCAAAGAAGGAAAGGTAAATATAGGCCAGTAGAAACTTCTTGTGGGGTATGGGGAGGGGGCTCAGTAGGGAGGGGACTCTGGGGTGATGAGCTTGATTCAGGCCACCCCTGAAGCCTCTTTCGAAGTCACACGATCCAGCACCATCCTTGAGCAATCTCTAAGCAAGCAGGGCTAGTCCTGTTGAAACAGGCATTGGCACCCCTGCATGGTGTGGTAATCCTCTCAGGAAGTCGCCCAAGTCCGCAGAATACCTCTCAGCCAGGAGGATTCATTACCTGGGGGAGGGGGGGAGAGAACCTGGTCCAGTCCCCCAGAGAGCATGTAACCCCTAACCCAGAACTGCTGTCTGACGCAAGGCCAAGGCTCAGAGATGCAGAATTTTGCCTGAGGTCACACAGCCAGACTTGGGACGAAGCTAGAATTCCCAGTTTGCAACCTGCTTGCTTCTGAACTGGCTCTCCCTACTACCTCTGGAATTAGGCCCCTCTCTTTCCACTTTAATGTCTACCTCGGATGCCTTAAGGTGGGTGGTCATGCTGCTGGAGCAGGGTAGGGGAGATTCTGTGTCCCTCCATCCATACTGCCAGAAAATTTCAAATCTTGGCTGTTTCTGTGACTTTGAATGAATCACTCCTCTCTCCCAGGCTCTGTTTCCTTATCCATTAAGCGAGGGATTATCTGAACCTAGAAAGATCAGGATTAGCTGAGTCTGGGAAATAGAGGTAAGAATATCATCAGTTCAGGCAGGGTGGTGGTGGCAGCGCACGCTTTTAATCTCAGCACTCAGGAGGCAGGGGCAGGCTGATTGATCTCTGTGAATTCAAGGCCAGCCTAGTCTACAGAGTGAGTTCCAGGACTGACTCCATAGCTACTGTGAACCCCTGTCTTGAAAACAAATAAACAAACAAACAAAAAATCAATTCAAAACTAGCAAGTTTGAGGTGACTCAGTGGCTACAAGCATCTTCCAGATGACCAGAGTTCAGTTCCCAGCACCCATATAGATGCTCATAACCATCTTTTACTCTAGTTCCAGGGGATCAGACACCCTCTTCTGATCTCTAAGGGCACCATATACACATGGGGCACAGACATACTTGCAACATAAGATAAAAGCACATCTTTAAAAAAAAAAAAAAAAGCAAGTCTGAGCCCCTAGCCCTGAGCTATATGACACCCAGTCTCAAAACTGCTTTTTAATAAAGTAGAGACTTGAAGGAAGAGTAAAGGAGAAAATATGCATATAATGTCAAGGAAAAGCAGGGCTAGGGTAAGCAGGAAAGCTTTCTACGGCAGGGACATTTGAAACAGAGGCCCGAGGAAGGTGTGTGAACAAATCCAGTAGATACATGGGAAGAGCATTTCTGGCCATAAAGAGCACATGCAAAGGCCCCGAGGGAGCAACAATTGATGTGGGAGGTCCTTCTGTGTATGTGTTGCTTTTATTGGTTAATGAATGAAGCAGTTTTGGCCAGTGGCTTAGCAGAGTAAAGCCAGATGGGAAATCTGAACAGAGATAGAGAGAGAGAATAGGTGGAATCGAAGGAGGTGCCATGTAGCCACCGAAGGAGAAAGATGCCAGAACATTACCACTAAGCCACAGCCTTGTGGCGATGCATAGATTAATAGACATGGGTTAATTAAAAATGTAAGAGCTAGCTAAAAATACACCTGAGCCACTGGCCAAACAGTGTTGTAATTAATATAGTTTCTGCGTGGTTATTCCGGTCTGGACAGCCAGGAAGCACAGCCTCCATTTACAACAATGACAGTTGGTCTGTTTGTTACTTTATTGCTACTATGGTCACTTGGCTAAACCATCTCTTTTTCCTTGTTTGTTTAGTTTTTGTTGTTGTTGTTTCTTTTTTTAATTTTTTATCTTCTTTATTGTTTTTTTTCCTTTTAGCCATATCTTTTTATAAAGGTTCCTTCCCTGCTTCTTGATCTACAAGACAACCCTCTGAGACCTTATGCATAACTTGATCTAATCCCCACAACAACTCTACAGCTTTAAAAGTATGTCTACAGGCAGGCATGGTGGTGCATGCTCTTATTCCCAGGTTTCCTGAGCCAGAAGAAGGAAGATCTCTGTAAATTCAAGGATAGCCTGGTCTACATAGCAAGTCCTAGGACTGCTAGGGCTACATAAAGAGACCTTGTCTCAAAAACCCAAATCATGGGGCTGGAGAGATGGCTCAGTGGTTAAGAGCACCGACTGCTCTTCCAGAGGGACCCGAGTTCAATTCCCAGCACCCACATGGCAGCTTACAACTGTCTGTAATTCCTGTTCCAGGGGATCCAACATTTCACACAGGCACACATGCAGACAAAAACACCAATGTACATAAAATACAAATAAATAAATTAAAAAAAAAACCCAAATCATGTCTGTACACTCTTTGATGTTCTACCATAGAGAGGTGACCGCTGTGTCCTCCCGAGCTCTGTGACTGCTCAGCCAATAGAATGAACCCAGCTTGTAAGGACGTGGCTTTGGCTTCCCATCTCATAGGTTACTCACCTTTGAAACAGTATTTTTCTCTGTGTGAGCATTTAACCTCTTTGGAGGCCAACATAATGGGGCCTGCTGCTCTAATATGCAGAGGCGCTGCCACACATGTGAGCAAGCTCCCCAGTGGTAGCTCAACTCTTTCCTGATTTTTCATCATTTTGAATAGAACCCAGGGAACACCCTGGAATGGACAAATCTGTACTGTCAACTGAGTTATTCAAAGGTAATGAACAGACAGAAATGTTTGGGCAAAAAGAGAACACATGTATGGTTTGTTTAATTTTTTTTTTCTTTTTTGGCTTTTTCGAGACAGGGTATCTCTGTGTAACAGCTCTGGCTGTCCTGGACCTCACTGCTCTGTAGACCAGACAAGCCTCAAACTCACAGAGATCCACCTATCTCTGCCCCCCAAGTGCTGGGATTAAAGGCTTGCGCCACTTTTTTTTTTAAAGTTTTATTTTCTGTGTATGAATGTTTTGCTTGTGTGTATGTCTGTGTACCACGTATGTGACTGTTACCCATAGACATCAGAGAGAGAGTCAGATCCTCTCAAACTGAAATTACAGTTATGAGCTGCCATATGGGTGCTGTGAACTGAACATGGGTCTGAAGGATCAGCAAGTGCTGAGCCCAAGTTTGATTTTTTGAGGATGGTATTTTTCAGTTATGTACCTGTATGTCTGTGTATGGGTATGTGCACAATTGCAGGTGCCTGGTTGTCGTGACATGGTCAAAACAATGACGTGTGGTGAACAATGCCTTGGGGACCAGGACAAATGCAGAGGGCCTTTACCTTGAGTACATTTTACTCCCTGGATTGTTCTTGGGCGTGATTTCGTGCCCCCTGTGTTAAACATTAAACATTCAATTTATAAGACATGTTTATTCTCCAGTCTGGTCAGTATTCCCTGAATCTGGATACGACCCTCTGCCTTACATTCATGCTTCCCCAGATAAAACCTATAGGATGTGCCAGGCAATTGTGTTCAAATTGATCTGTCCTGAGAAAGTTCTGGGAAAGGGCTGCCCTATTAATATTTAATATGTGCTGACATGCTTTTCCGATCATGTGTTTCTGAACTCAAACAGCCTTCTTTGGATCATTGCTTTCTTAGTCATCTTTCATGTATAAAAGTACACTGAGCTGGGCAATGGTGGCACATGCCTTTAAACCCAGCATTCGGGAGGCAGAGGCAGGCAGATCTCTGTGAGTTCGAGGTCAGCCTGATCTACAGAGTGAGTTCCAGAACAGACACCAAAGCTACACAGAGAAATCCTGTCTTAAAAAAACAATAAAAGAAAAAAGCACACTGAAAGAAAGTGGTATACAGCATTAGACTGTAGTCCACCTGATGCTTTCAGGTCTTCAAATCCTAGGTCTTGCAGATAAATCTGCGCAAATCTGCTAAAGGCAGATGGATCCTCTGGAACTGGAGCTTCAGGTGGTTGTGAGTCACCGTGAATGGGTGCTAGGAACCAAACTTGAGTCTTCAGCTAGAGTGACCAGCACTCTTAACTGCTGAGACATTGCACCAGTTCCTGAGGGGGAAAATATTCCAAATATTTCAGTAAAGCTGCCAATGAATATCTTTGTACTACACAGGTATAAGTAACTAGGAAACACCCTAAAAACAGCCACCAACTGGCTAAGGTTGACAGAAATATCTTATCTCCTAGTTCAAGGGGCCTGAAGTCCAAAATCCAGTTTGCTTCCCTCTGGGAAATTCTCCCACAACTCTCTCCTATGCAGTGAAGGTCAGCTTTTAGTGGATCTGAGTTTGAGGCCACCCTGGTCTACAAAGTGAGTTCCGGACCAACCAAGGGTTACACAGTGAGACTCTGTCTCAAAAACAACAACAACAACAACAACAACAACAACAACAACAACAAAACTCGTTTCTACACCATTTCCACCTTGGGTACTGACACCTGTGCCTTCTTTCTTCTCTTCCTCCCCTTTGGTTTTGTTTATTTGTAGATAGTGTCCTACTGTGTAGCACCTGCTGACTCCAAACTCTGTAGACCAGCTGACTCCCATTATCCCACCAATCAAGAATAGGATCACTACCACAGTTTAAAGCCAAATTTGGAGCAAGCTTTAGTTAAATATTGACCAGATGGATGGGCTCTAGGCAGGTACATCCCTGGGTTTCCAGATGACCCCAAATCAAGGTTTACAGCAGCTTAAGTATTCCCATCAGGTCCAATCAGGGGCTAACATACGTCCTTACATACCAACAGCCTATGTCCAATCAGGGGCAAGAATACGTCTGATGTATTTCCTGCCTGTGAACTTCCCACACGTACCTGATCAAACACATCCTGTGCAGGTGAGTCAAACAAACTTGTTTTGGGGGAGGGAAACCATGTGGCTTGTTATCAACCATAAACAACAGCCTCCAGCATTTCGGGAACTATCTGTCCTTGGGCAAGGGGCTTACAGATCAGAGACATTTTTGTTTCATGCATCTCTAAGGCATAGTAATTAAAATCTGAAATGTAACTTTGACTCTTACACTCTCCCCTTGAGTTGTTTCCTGAGTCAAATCCTTGACTCTTTGATGGGTACCTATTTATACTGGGATCTAATAACCATCAGCTAATGGTGCCCAGGCAGGAATTATCATTTAGTTAAGGCAGTAGTGATGCAAGCGCCAACAGCAATTAGCTGAAGCAGAAGGGCCAAAGGCCCTTTGATGGCTGACATCAGAGCTACTATCTAGAAGGACCTGGAAATGAGAATGGGGACCAGTTATTTATTTCATCTCAGGTCCCCTTTGCAACAATTTTTTTTCCGAGTACAGATCATTTCTAATAATTTCTGAATGGTTTATATAGAAACAACTTTCTCTTAAAGCTGTACAGTAACCTCTCTGTTTTACGTAGAGCAGGTCGAGTGCCCTGTCATAGCTCTATAGAATTATTTCAGGTAGTGACTATTCCTGTTGATAGATCTGGGTCTACTTGGTTTTAACAGGTATCTTGCCTGGTGTACCTATGGGCACTATAGGTAGCTATTTTGTCCCCTATGCTAGAGAGTTTCCTTTTGATCTAACATTCTAAAGTGTTGAGGAACAGAGGCAACAGACTCTCCTGTAACTACTTCCTGCTAAAGCAAGGGTGGTGTTGTCAGGGCCCAGGAGACTGGAATCCAGGCAGTGGGGCATTCATCAGAAGCTTCTGGTTCACTGACCCAGCTGTAGAGACCGAGAGCCTTAAGGAAATCTCCTGAAACAGAGATAGATGAGAGACAGAAGTTAAAATTTAGAAACTTAAATTTGGAACTTTCAGGCCCATAATCCTAGTAATTGGGAGGAGACCAGGAGAGAGGTGGGGGAAATTTAGGCTGTACTTATCTGGAGTCCTTTTGACCTGTGAAAAGTAGATCCACGCTTTATGACTCCCTTGATTCTCTGAAGCTTGCATAGTTTTTAATTTACAAAAAGACATAAAAGTAGAAAAAGCAGGTAACAAATGTCTATAAAACAGCTGGGGTAGACTCACACCTTTGAGTCCTAGAAAAAGCTATATATTTGGTTTAAAAAGCATAAATATTTTTTTTTCTCTTTCTAGAGAGCTAAATATAGATTGGACAGAAGTCTTTGGCCTGATGAGAAGCACTTTTAAGTCTATATTTAAAAGATACCTGAAGTAAATTTAAATATTAACCTTGTCACCAAACAGTAAGTAGTCAATGTTCTACCAGCTTTTCAGAACTCTACTGATCAATATTAAAACTCTGAACCTTTGCAGTCTTAGTGTAACAATAGCATAAAGGGGAAAGAAATCTGAAACATTTCCCACTTTCACAGACCTTAAATCACTTTCTCACACCTTTACAACTTATATTTACATCTTAAACCACTTTCTGAGGCCTCCAGAACTCACATAGACTCTCATAGGCTCAGACCTTTATATACCTTAGAACATTTTCTTAGACCCTCAAAACTGGCATTGACTTTAACACGTTTTTCCCCATCTAATCAGTTACCAGAGACACAAGTAGTTATTACTGAGAACAATTATTACAAATCATGTTCCTTTCGTGGAAAGTTACATCTGAAACCTGTTTATCTTTTAATATGAAGCCCATTAGCAAGGCAAACTTGTCTACCTTTTCTCTACAGGAAACTTAGTAGCTGTAGAAAAATCAAGCCTTGAGTTTTACACATGAAATGAGATAATATGGTGACCAAAGCTATGGGGGAAAGAACATGGTTCCCTGCTGCTGCTAAGCTGACAGTGTTACAGTTAGCCTAGCCGTCAATACCATCAGAGATGTGAGAAGGATAAATTATAACATGAAGTATAATTCAAATGGCCCAGGTACCAGCTAAAAATGACAGAGACTAATCCATTACCTAGACAATCATCCCAGGCTCCTGTGTTCTCCATGGAGTTAGGGGCAGAGATACCGGGACTTTGGCTGCCAGGCCCAGAAGGTAAGAGGTTTTCCTGTGGAGGAGGAACATGGGGGAGACTGATCTTACTTTGTCTGGGTAAAATGGGGCAGTTGGCTCTCAGGTGTCCTGCTTGTTCACAGTTTGGGCCTGGTCCTGGTGGTAGGTGCAGCATTAGGCAGTCTTGTCCAGCGGTTAGTGTTACCACAATCCAAGCGCAGTCATTACAGTGCCCTGCTATTATCTTTGGAGACTTTGGGGTCACAGATAGAAGCTGGAGAGTCTCTGTCACAGGAAGCTTTTCCATTAAACATTTTAAATGCCATATTATTCAGCCCTCCGACACATTTGAGGGCCGTTATCTATGAAGTATATCTGAGTTAAACAAATCTTGGCTGAACCTTTAAAACACATATAGGCTAAATAAAGCTTTTTCCTAGAATTTATCACATTAATATGTAGCATGACTACAAGTACAGTTCTGAACATATTAAAGAGTTTGATCATTTATAAGGTGGCTAACTGTTAACTTGTATATCTTAGTTATCTTTAACAGCTTACAATAACTTATTAGCTTTCATAAGACATACAGTTGCAGGGGTAGGGTTGTGAGGTGGACTGAGGGAGCCTAGAGGCTAGCATTGCCCCGTGTCAATGAAAGGGCCACAAGTTCATTTTGATAGAGATAAGGAAAATGATTCCCTTTTTAACAAACAGGAACTTTCTTCAAGCTCCTGAGGAAATGGAGGCTTTTGTCTAAATGCCTGAACTTGGGAACGACTTTAAAGTTTTATCTCTGTTAAGTCTGAACTTTAAAAAACAATTTCTGATCCAGGAAGTGGTAGTGCACACCTTTAATCCCAGCATTCGGGAGGCAGGGGCAGGTGGATCTCTGTGAGTTCGAGGCCAGCCTGATCTACAAAGCAAGTTCCAGGACAGGCTTCAAAGCTACAATGAAACCCTGTCTCAAAAAACAAAACAAACAAAATACACACCAAAAAACAAACAAATAAAACCCCATAATTTCTGAATTAAAGCTCCTTTAGTATCAAAATAAGACTTTTAACTCATAAACAGCCCACTGAGAGACCAGGAAGTTTCCTGATTGTTTTACAGTGCACCATTACAGAATATAACAGTTTCTTACATGACTCGGCTTATCCAAATAGCTTAAGCTTAATAAAGTTAGCAAAGACAAGTAGGCTAGACATACATTCTCAAGCATGAATAGACCTTAGGTAAGGAGAGACATTTCTAAGCCAGTGGTTCTCAACCTTCCCAATGCTTAGACCCTTAATTACAATTCCCCATGTTGTGAAGACACCAAACCACAAAATCATTCCCATTGCTTTCTTTTTGGTTGGGGGGGGTGGTTTTTTGAGACAGGGTTTCACTGTAGTTTTTAAAGCCTGTCCTGGGACTAGCTCTTGTAGATCAGGCTGGCCTCGAACTCACAGAGATCCGCCTGCCTCTGCCTCCCAAGTGCTGGGATTAAAGGCGTGCGCCACCACTGCCCGACTCCCATTGCTTTTTTACAGCTGCAGTTTTGCCACTGCTATGAAACTCAGTGCAAACATCTGACATGCAGGTGGTCCAAGGCTACCCCTATAAAAAGGTTTTTCGGCCCCCGAAGGATGGAGACTGATAGGCTGAGAAGCTGCTCCAAGCCCTTTGCCAGACAACTTAGGTCACTGTCTTGCTGCATTATAAGACAGGAATAGCCCAGCCTCTGGTATTAGGCATTTGGTGCTCATAGCCGTGGCCCTAATTTTTAACTTTTTTACTTATTTTTGAGTTCAAATTATTAATATAAAACATTTTATAAACTTAAAATGCCCCATAGCCTTATAAATTTAAATATTTTAAAAGGTGTTCCTTGCTCTTTCCTTTTGCAGCCGTCACTGGATCGCCCCCACCAAAATGAAGTTCCATCCCTTTCTGATGCCTGACTGAAGTAAGAACCGCAAACAGCACTTCAGTGCACCTTCTCTCATCCGGAGGAAGATCACGCCTTCCCCCTTTCCAAAGAGCTGAGTCAGAAGTACAATGTTCAATCTATGCCCATGCAAAAGGATGACGTTCAGGTTATCCGAGGACACAACAAAGGCCAGCAGACTGGCAAAGTGGTCCAAGTGTACAGAAAGAAATATGCCTACATTATTTCCTATTCTACATTGAACAAGGGCAGCGAGGAAAGGCTAATGGCACAATTGTCCGAGTGGGCAGCCACCCCAGCAAGGTGGTTATCATCACCAGGTTAAAGCTGCGCAAAGATCCTGGAAAGGAAAGCCAAGTCTCGGCAAGTAGGAAGGGGAAGGGCAAACACACGGAAGAAATGATTGAGAAGATGGTGGAGAAGGGGCGTCTCATACACAGCTTTCATTAAAGACTGCTTAAGGAGTCAGGCGGTGGTGGCGCACGCCTTTAATCTCAGCACTCGGGAAGCAGAGGCAGGCAGATCTCTGTGAGTTTGAAGCCAGTCTGGTCTGCAAGAGCTAGATCCAGGACAGGCTCCAAAGCTACAGAGAAATCCTATCTTGAAAAACCAACCAAACAAAAGACTGCTTAAGGAGTAAAAAAGTAAATATTATAAAATAAAAGCCGTTCCTTTAAAAATGTTCCATTTTTTAATTTAAAATGTCTGTGTAACTCCAAAATTTCCTCCTAAAAAAAGTTTAAAATCTCTCAACTTTGTGCTTCTGCAATATCAAAAATAAAGTGCCTGTTTTTACTTCAAGAGGGAAGACACAGGGCCCAACCACAATCTACATAAGACAAAACCAAGTTCCAACAGAGCAAACAATTCAGAGCTCAATATCTGAGATTCATTCACAATCTTTTGGGTTTTCTCTAGGATCACCTCTTTGGCCCCACCCTCGGCATCATATACATAGCCTGCCCTCTAGACCCCAGCCTGCTCCGTTTCACTGTGCTGGTGCTCCTGGTGACTATAACATCACACCAACAGTCCCCAAACCGCTGAGGCACACCACTGCAACCGGGCTGTCTTTAAGAACTTAGCCCTGCCACACACTGGCAAGTCTCAGCTGTTCCCCGTGACTCCTTTAGACCAATGCCACTTGGACGACACTTAAAGTATAAAATTTAACTGCCAGGGCAAGGTACATTCTTGCATATAAAAGCATGGGGGTACAACTTTAATACCTGATTAAACAAGCATGTTTTTAAATCCTATCTTTCATAAACCTTGTTTTCAGGGCAGGACAGGAATTATCATACAAAAATCCATCCTAATCCAAAATATTTTGGAGACCTGTTACTGCCTCCTTGGTAAGCCCACTCTAAGTGGTTTACCTTTAACCAAAATAGTGGTGAAGACACATGACCTCCATCTGTTGCAACCCAGCAAAGCATATCACTTGACATCTGCCCTCTCTACCCCTAGCAAAGATGGCTGTCAGACATGTGGCCACCCAAAGATGGTGGTAAATCAAAATGATATTTGCCACATGATTCCTTTAAAATCACCCATTCATAGATTGTTAACTGTCAACTCCAATGTTACTAGTTTTAACTTTTTAAAAAAGATTCTACAGAATTTTAACCATATTCAACAAAATAAACTTACAAATCTTGAGGTACAGAATGTTCACATAGACCAAGTCTAATTTTTGGCTGTTCTGCTTTGCTTTCTTCTCCCTGTCTCTGTGCCAGCTGACTCAACTGACACAGCCACATAGAGGAAACTTTTCAATATGCCTGGGTCTCGTGAAGGCAGAGCCATAATCCAACTCTAGAGCCAGCTTTTCAATAAAGAAACAGCATAAAACAACGTTAATGTTATCCACACCCAAAAGATGTCTGAACTCCTACTAACCTAAATCCAGTGACCAGAGAGCTTAGAGATAAATTCTGAGCCCCAGCCATAAATACAGCCATGGCAGCAGTTCTGATTGGCTGCTATTGGCAGCAGACAGCAAAAATATCTGGCCCATTTCTGTCTCAGCTCCATGCTTGCAACAAAATTTACAGATACACCAGAAAACACAGACAAAAATTTCCAACAAAACAGGGAGACACAACTTTAGAGAGAAAAAAGAGACAAAACTTTCTAACAAGACAAACAATGCAACAAAACTTAAGGACATACCAGAAAACAGAAACAAAACTTTCCATGGGAAACAAGCAAAAGCTTTCAAACCAGAACCAGGTGGGTGGGCAATGTTTTGCTACATGCTTTGGACAGGAGACTATTGGGGTTCCATTGAACCTCCTCCATGTCCCAGATAGGGATCTCACAAAACAGACAGGTGAATCTCTATGAGTTTGAAGCCAACCTGATCTTCAGAGGGAGTTCCAGGACTGCCAAAGTTGTTATGCAGAGAAGCCTTGTCTCGAAACAAAACAAAACAAAAAGATAGAGCATTAATAGAGACTGGAGAGAAGGCTCAGTGGTTATGAGTGAGTACTGCATTTACAGAGGACCCAGGCTTGATTTCCAGATTGGTCTACCTCTGGTGAATCACAACTCCCTGTAATTCCAGTTCCAGGGGATCTGATCCCCTTTTGGCCTCCAAGGGCACCTACGCACAGGTGGTGCATTGTTGGGTCCCTAGAGGACAGGCCTTCGCACCCCCACTTGATCTGTTTTGCACTCTTGCACTTGGTTGAAAACAGGAACAAAAACAGGAACAACCTGTTGTTTTCAGCAATGTCTCTAAGGATGTTTACCCCTATGTGGGACGCACCTCTTGACCAGCAAGCAGGGACGACCACAAAATCGAGAATCCTTCCCAAATCACAACTTTATTGGAGCCACTTGGTTGAAGGGGGAATGGGGCACGAAAGAGGGACGAGAGAGAGAAGGAGCAGGGGAAGGTGAGAGGGAAAAGGTGAGAGAGAAAGAGCAG